CACTCCACCAGCAACCCACCTTCTCTGGCCACACCCAGTTAATTTCTATCAGTAGATCAATGCACTGACTATTGCTATTTTCCATTCCTTTGCATTCTATAGTTCACCTAATTAGCATGTTAATCAGTTCTGCTATGCACATTTCATAGCTTACCCCATTTAAACTAGAAAAATATATTTACTCCAGTATTAATCAACTTAAACCCACTTTGAAAAATCCACATTCAATGGGCTATGAAGTAACCATAAAGTTCAGATACCCCATTCTCAAATCACTGTTTGATATGTGTGTACCTGGAAATAAGAGTGTATCCAATGTATTATCTGTTTGGCAAAAAAAAAAAAAAATAGTTTTTTTTATATTACCCAAGACTCATATTTCACACTTCAGAAATGCACTCAACTATCTTCTATTCTTTTGTGCTATCAGATCAAGATCTGTAGGAGTATTTTTTGATTCTTGCTTTCATTTTAGATAATTTTCACATCAACACCTCAGATTATTTGAGCCAATTCCTCTCCATCCATGTAGTGTAATCTTATCATCACAAATTGTTTGGCTGTGGATGTGTTGCTGCACTCTTTTAATGTTGAGCAGAGTTTGATCCATTTTGAGAATGTTTGATCCACAAGGAGATTTCCTAGGAGAGAGGAAGAAGAAGCAAATGTGAATTCCTATCCCCTGGAAGATCATTAATTCTTGGCCAAAATAATGTCATTATATTTAGTAATTACCTAAGTACCTGGAAAGTTTTTATTTGAAAACATTTTTTTTTTTCCTTTCTGAAGCATCTGTTTCTCTTAAAAGTTAGGTGAAATTCAAACTGTGCTGAAAAAATAAAGGAGAATCAAATTTGGTGGTAACAGAGATTTAACCCAGGGGCACTCTACTACTGAACTACATCCTCAGCTTTCTTTGTTTTGTGTTTAGAAACAGGGTCTCCTAAGTTGCTGAGGTTGGTCTAGAATTTGGGATCTTGCCTCAGCCTCTTGAGTAGCTAGGATTGCAGATACACACACCTGTGCCTGATTTGAATTCACTTTTAATATTATCACCATATTTATTTTCTTAATTTCAAATTTTGACAAGACACTTTTGTAAAACAAAAAGAAAATATGTGTTTTCTCTTTGTACCAATTCAATAAAGGCAACAAAATTGTTAAGTGAAAAAATTACTTCAAGCAGATGGAGACAAGGATGTGGACATGACTTTAGTTCTTGGAGGTGACTTAATTAGTGAGAAATTATATATTGATCTACTTTAAAGAAAAAGGTCCTGTGTAGTTTTTGGAAAATATTTTTCAAAAATAGGCTTTTGGGGCTGGGAATATAGCTCAGTTGGTAGAGTGCTTGCCTCCCATGCATAAGGCCCTGGGTTCAGTCCCCAGCATCACAAAAGAAAAAAAAAAAAAGGCTCTTATACAAGTTGCTTTGTAAGTGCTTCCTCATCTACAAGAAATGGTAAGGATAGACAGACACAGCCACTGACAGCTGATGTTCATGAGTGGGTAGAAGAGAAGATTAGGGAAGTAGGAAATTCTACACAGGGTAGTTGCAGTAATGAACTTGGTGTTGTTCTCCAACCTGATCTAGTAAGCAATTTGGTTAGGATGATTAATTCCACAATGACTTGGTGGATTTAAATTACCATCTATACATTTCAACTCATTCTGTTGAGAACAATATTGGTTCTTTCCATAGGCTTTACATGTCTGAGCCTTAATAATTCTCACCCCTTTTCACACCCTTTCTCTTTACTCTTAGACTATTACACACCCCTTCCTTTCTACCCTGAAACTTCCCTGATTCTTGCTTTCCAATATCTAGGTTAACAACTTTAAGTATTTATGTATTTGTCATAAGTATACCTGATGAGAGTCAGGTGTTTTTAGCAGTAGCAATTAAATTGTAGATACCCATAAATTATCTCTTGAAAGACAGTTATCTCATGCAGCATGAGTTCAAATCACATTGGAATCAAGTTCCATAATAATAGAAATAGTATAGCAATCAAACAACAACTTGTCAACATTTTTCATCATTCCTACCCAGTAAGACCCACAAATCTCCAAGCTCCTGGCATGCAAAAAAGTTCTTGGCTTTTCCTTAAAACTCACTTGATACCTTTCATTTCTAACTTATTTCAGTGAGTAATAGTTAATTTTTAAAAAAGTAAAATGCATATCAGCTAGGGGTAAACACTTACCTTGTCAAAGTCTCTTTAATGTTTCTCCAACTTTAGCTTATATCAGAATCACTTGGAACCTTGTTCAAATCCACATTCCCAGAGACCAGAACCAAGGTGCCTGCTAGGGAGCCCTAGGATTTAAGTCTAAGAAGTGCCCAAGTGATGGTGATGCTGTAGCGACCACATTTTAACAATTACTGCTTTGGACAGCATTTTCCTGCTTAATTAACAAAAATTAGAGGGCAATAATCAGGTTCACTAAAGTCAAGATAACTTCTGTACAAAAAGTTGGTGAAAATTTTCATCATCTTTTCGTAGACCCACAACATTCAGTCCCAGACTAATTGATAAGTGACAGAAATAYTTGTCTATTTAATTAGGATAGCCATCATTTATTAAGCAATGGTGCCAATATGTTTACATATGCTCTCTTATTTAAATCCTCAAAAGGCTATAAATCAGGTGTTATTGCCTTTTTTTTTTAAATGAGTAGATTGAACCTCAGAAAGGTAGAGTGACAACCCTACGGTTAAATGCCTAATGACAGATATTTCAAACTCAATTTACCTTCCTTGAAAGCCCAGGCATCTAACGATCATCCCCTATTGTTCCTTTGATTTCCATGTATTACAATTTTTTCCTTTATTTTTCTCTCCTTTTCAGACATATTTTTTTAAATCACTTAATACAAATGTCCTTTGGCTTGTTCCCAATTTTAGTCAGTGATAAAATAAAAGAAACATTATGTAACTAAAGGGGAAAATAAATTCAGGGCTCTGTCTTGTGCAAATGCCTGTCAGTATTTAAGTATTATTCTAGAAGGTGAGTACTTTGAGAAATGTGTCTTGTCAGGCATAGGCATGCATTCTCTTATAATACCTGAATATAAAAAGACTGTTGTGATAATGAAAACAATAATAAAAATAAAGGATGGGTTTGTGCTCACCAAGGTTTGGCAGGTTTTCTGAGTTGCATTTCTACAATGTGGGCAGATTAATTTCTAGGGTTGCAGTTTTACTATTTTTAGAGTTTAGCATTGTTTCACAGTTGCATTGCTGATGCTTTTTGGAAAAAAAAAAAAACAGCAAGACTCTATTTGTTCATCAGTTCATGCTCCTGTCTGTCCTTCAGCTGTGTAGGCTGGGGAGCAAATAACTCTCTGATCAGGTAGCATCGGGCCTGTGTGAGGATTGCTGCCCTCATCTTAGGAAGGAGAGTGCCAAAGAGGGTTGCTTTGAGAGACTTTATTTAAAAAAAAACAAAAACAAAAAAAAAAAACCCTGATTATTCTCAGTCTTAAAGATCTGTAAACCACTTACCTCTCATAGGTTGGAATAACCATAAAAACTGAGCAATTTAGTAATGCTCAGTACTTTGAAACAAAGTTGAGTAATGGTTACATCTATTCAGGCTCCCTGCACCTAAGAGATTATTATTATTATTATTGCTACTTCTAAAAACTATTCTTATTGTTGTTGTTGTTATCATCATCATCATCATCATCATATAATCAGAATTTATAATATCATGGTTTTGGAATTTGTGAAAATTCACCTAAGTAACACTAAATCCAGTCATTTCCTATGAAGAGTACCTTTATTGAGAAAGTTCCCATAGAAATGTGATTGTAAGGGTCATGTTTAAAACCCATTTTACAACATCAATTTACAGAGGCAATTCAGTTTTAATCAGTAAAGTAAGTACCTCAAAGCCTCTCACTATTAGTAGCATCCAATTAGGCTGGCATCTATTTTTATATTTTCAGAAAACCTAAAAATCTTGTTTATTAGAAAATATCTTTAATTTACACTTGGAAACTATTTAGTTGGATTGCATTCCCTTCCTACCCAAAGCTATCCCTTTTATGTGAATCTTTACTGTAATAATTATTCATCGGGCAGTTTGTTAGGGCTTAAGACCATTGTGAAGGTGTAGTTCATATGAACATAACTCTAAAGTCCTTGAGTAGTGTACACCCAACTGGAAAGAGGAAAGATGAATATTCCATACTGAAATCTTACAAAGGAATTTGTTCTATGGAGTTATCTTACAGTTTGTTTCTTCCATCCTCACTACTTTTATCCATTTCAAAAKATACATGCATTTTGGTAGTTTGACGTTATAATAAAGTCCAACTGTTGGCAGTGAATAACTGGTATGACAGTTTTAAGCTTTAATTGCAAGAAAAAGATAAAAGACCTAGGGAGGGAAACATAGAAAGGGATAATTGGTCTGTTAATGACTGCAGTCCACATTGTATTACACAAGAAAAATGGTACTTGCATGTTCCAAAAAAGCAACACAGTCTATTTGGTAAAACATTCATATTTATTCAAGAGAGGAAAAGTTATAATAACCCTTTTAATTTTCCTTCATTACATATCATTGGCTCAATCAACCATTATGTACACACACACATACATATACACACATATGTACAGTACAGTTCTAATACRTTACTGCTTTCTCATTTTGGCTTCTCTTAAGATTTATGGCTGTTAAATTTAATTTGTTTGCTGTACATAGCATTTTCTCCCCTTTACAGCAGCATGCTCTTTTGAACTGAACGTTCTTCTGTGTTTGCCCCATTTCAGTATTGCTTACTAACATTTACTATATTTTGCTTTTTTTTTTTTATTTTGCTGACAAAGTTGCATTGATGAAAGCTGACTTGCAAGGTAGATAGCCCTGTGTGTATTCAACAAGACTGAAACCCCATACTACACCGTGGAAAACCTAAAATAACTGTTTTTTACATTTTTGCTGTAACTGTTATTTGGGTTCCAATTTCATTTTTTTCCCCTTCTTGAAACCTCCTTTTGCAGCAGAGTTTGCATAAGGCTTTCAGTCTTGAACTTGTTTGTATAGTGATTGCCTTTAGTGCTTCAATCATACTTCTTTAGTTCTCTGTTTTCCAGTGTTCTAGTTATGATTCTTTAGAACCAGACTAGCATTCTTTTGACTTGTATGTTCAATGGGGGCATGCCATCTATCTGGAGTTTTTCATTTTCTGTTTAATTGCATGAGATCGTTAAAGCATGTGAATTGATACTTGCCAACATACCTATCCAAAACACCCAGCAATCATAACTTTATCCATAGTTTGGGCAGGGAAACATCTGGAACTTCTAGGGCATTTCTGTATAACTCTCTTTGGTTATTTTGCCAATCTTTATCTCAATTTCATGAAGTTATAATCTCCATTTTTCATGGTGCTTCTATTTCATTGGTCTGAAGTTAAGGAGATCCATTCATTTTCTAAAAATCCAAATGGTGACAGAGAGTTATCGATGATGGAGTGAGATTACCTGCTACCATGATCATATTGGAAGCTATGCACTTGCTTTTACTATTTGTTGGTTAAGTTTATTACTATCATGTATTTTGTCATATACTTGAAACTTAAGAAAACCTTCATGTTACAGCTTCTCAGCTCCTAATTCAGGTGTGTGAGCTAAAACTTTCACAACTGGTTTGGACATGTAATTTGAGGTGTTGGCAACTACTCTATGTGATCTAGCTCACGTGTAAAATATTTTAGATTGTTTTTAAAAACCCGAGTTTCCTTTGGAATGTTTCGCAGGGCCCAGCACAACCTGCCAAGAGGACTCGTGTTCCAATCAAGGTGTCTGCTTACAGCAGTGGGATGGCTTCAGCTGTGACTGTAGCATGACTTCCTTCAGTGGGCCACTCTGCAATGACCGTGAGTACCACAGTGTACCTTGTCACTCCTAGCTACCATTCCTTATTCAAGGTCTAAAATTGGGAGTCCTTATGTTCTATGCACCTGAGCTCTCATAACCAAGGGAAGCAGTTCTTTCTACAGGAAGGACATTTCCCACATATTAAATTATTATTCTGGGACATCATTAGCTAAGGGCTGTGATGATGATGATTCTTTAGATTTCAAATCTAAAGGTTTATTTGGTTTTTTTTTTTTTTTTCATGAGTAACGGTCATGTTGTTCAAAGGAATTTTTTTCATTTCCTATATTTGGTGATTCTCCTCTAGTTTTTGAAACTTCGTAGTGCTTTATATTAAATTGTGTTTAATTTTGTGAGATCATTTCTTCAGGACTGTGATTTTGGTGACTGGCTCCAAGAATTACATTTTTCTCTATTTCTATATCTAAGTCCACTTTTGCCTTCACTTTAAAAACAATGTATTTAATCTTTGTCCTTCAAGTACTCTCCCTTGTTTTTTAGCCCTTCATATTTTCTTCTTTCATCCCTTGATGTAAGAATGACAATGAAATGCAGCATTTGCATTATATCAGATCATACCTGCTAGAGTCTTATCTATATTATAGCAGCCATGGTAGAATTAATTGGTCCTTAGGACAAAGTTTTGCTTCTTAACTTTCACATCATCTTGTTTTAAAGCACTTTATCAAAACGCGAAGAGCATTTCCTAAAACGCATTTCCTTCTGCTGTATTAAAAGAATATCCCTGACAAAGCCTCCTGCTTGCAAAGTAGATTACATGCTTTATGTTATAAATACTACAACTTGCAAAGCTAATGTTCTAGGTTATGGGATAGGGAATGCCATGATTAAAAGTCTGGGGTTTCACAGCAGAGGGTAGACTTGAGTGTGGACTTAAATAATGTCTAGAGTTTGTTCTTTCTGACCTTTATCAATTTGGACTTTATTCATGTCAGTAGATATGTATATAATACCGTCAGAGGTGGAGTCAAACTAAATATCCCATTGAACTGAGTTGTTGCGGCCTAGAAATATGGTTCAACAGTTTCCCATCCAAAATATTGATTATAAATAAGCAAGCAATTAATGCATTACTAAAGAGTAAATTTATACTTGGAAGAAGTCTGCAATGCCCAGGCCATCAGAGATTGAGAACCATCTTTCTCCATTTTACTAGTGTTATCTTCCATCAAATTATAGTAAACTTGAAACAATAAAAATATATTATTTGTATTGCAAACACTGTATTTCTGCAAAACAAATCACACTTATAACCAATAACTCTATTTTGAGTTACATAAATAATTTTAAGCAAAGACTCACTAAGTACCAATATAAGCAAAAAACAAAGAATGTGTAACCCTTATAAATGCTTTAATAACAAYATGCATATACATCTCCAGAGCAGTAACTTCCTGCATTTGTCCCTGTCCCATAGAAAATGACATAGTTATTTTCCAGGAGGACCAGAAGACTGAAATTCTGTTGACTTTATTATGGCAAATTTTTAGTCCTGAATATGATTCTGACAGATGTATGACTACATGTGGTAGTTGAGAGGGCTTTATGGTATGAAAATATTTTTCATTTTGCTAAAGAACATTTTCTGCCAAATTTTTCTTAATCTAGTTTCCATGTTTTACAAAACAGTTGCTATTTGGTTGTGTCAGACTGTGCATCCTCATATACCAGTTAAATATGAAGAATACAATTTTCCGGAAGTATTTGTTGGGCTTTTCCTAAAAGAACATCAAGATCCAACCTTGAGTATCATCCTGTCCAAATTGCYTTTTACAGAAAACTATTTGTATACTGCTCTTGGGTGATAGTAGTAATGATCACAATGATAAAGCTATTTGTTATTTTCTTGCAAATAGGTAAATGTCATTCAATAAATATGTCTTCTGATATGCCTCTTGCACAAATCAGCATTAAAATTGCTTTGGAGAGGTCTCGGAATGCATGCATTTTGATTAAATCATTAGCTCGTACTGGGTTTTCTGGAAATGGGAAATGATTCCATGATTCTCATCTTGGATTTTCTGGTGATTAGGCTATGTAAGCAAAAATCAATATTAAAAGTAATATTTTTATATCGATTATAATTAGTAGAAGGTACAATAGTAATTGTTACTTTGAAGACATGTATGTTGAAGCTTGAAGTATTTTGCCACATTTTCCTCACTTTTTAAATTAGTCYAAATACATCTTATGTCTACATCTCACTGTTTCTCTATAAGATGCACAAATAGAATTAATGTGATTGAATTGTATCAAACTCCTTTTCTGTATAGAGAGTGACATTTCTTATTTATAATAAAGCCATTTAGGGCATTTTGTTTATTAATGAAGTTATATCTCTAATGTAGTTTATAATTCATAATTTTGGGATTATAGCCTTCAACTTCATAGGAAACAACAACAACAACAACAGAAAAGGAAATAGGAACAAATATTTTTAATATGGGAAAGAAAACACCACATTAAACATGAGAACCTTTCTCCAAAATGCAAGTTCTAAATGTCATCTATCTGATAATTCCCAAGGAATGGATTATAGTAACTAGAAATTTTTATTTATATTAGCCTGGAGATACAATTAACAATGGGAAGATGGGAATACTTTATAGTATGCAAGTGTAATCTTGGATAAATCATAATAATTAATTGAACTGAAAAGAAGTTTTCAAGAAAGAGGCACTTGCGCAAAGTGATGCCAAATGCTATTTGGAAGAAATGCATTTGTAAGAAATGCTTTCTTCCATGGAAATTTGCCACCTGAGTGACCCACACATTAACCAAAATGGTGTGTGCAGGGCATGTAGTGTAGCATACTCAACACTACCAAATTTCAGATCTGCATGTCATTTTCTCTGGCTTCTTGTAATCCTTTCTTGGTTGTTTCCCCACTTCCCTCCCTCCTTCCTCCAATCCATCCTGGACCATTCTCCTAGTTCTGTTCTTCCTTTTCTCCCTGATTGAAAGGTCACTGGTTTCTCCTGATTCTCTCAACCACAGGCATATTCTTCCTCCTCTGACTTCTTTAGGGATATTTTACTATTTGATCAACCATCACTTTCTACTTTATACTTTCTTCTATCTCATCTCCCTATAAGACTATGTACTTCTCCTGAAACAACATTTTTTTTTCCTTTTAAATTTTTTCTTCCTTTTAGCTCATAAGCCCAGTATTTTGTATAGCATGTTTCATGTAATTGGTGATAAAAGCAACACATTAAACCAATGTAGACTGAATGCATGAACCTTTCAAAACAATTTCTGGGGCATCCTCAGTGGTCAACACTGCTCTCTAGATTCATCAGTCTGGGGTTCATCAACCTTCATGTTCTGACCCTGGCCTTCATTTTCATACTTGTCTATTGCAGATCCTTGTCCATATGGTGTGTTACTGCCAATTTACTTACTCATGGCTTTTTGTACAGCATTACACTTTCCAATTTCCTCAGTGTTACATATGCTAATCTCTCCACCTGGGGAGTGCTCTCATTCCACCTGGATTGCATTCTTTTCACTATCTCTGCTTGAAAGAGTATCATTTCCTTTTCAACTTCCACTTAAACTATTTTATCCCATGGAAATTTCTTTAGTTCTCTGAGTTGGGCGTTACCTTTTCTTCTTTGGAAATCTTAGGGCAATAGTGTGTCACACATATTATTTTATGTTGTAAATATTTGTGAACTTTCTCTTGGATTGATGGTTTATCAAGTGCTTACCATATGTCAGGTCTGTGCTGAATTTACATTCATTATGTAACATCTACACATCACCAATTCATGCTTGCACATCACTCATCATCATCAAATCAGTATGTTATTCAGTAATTCTTTTCTGCTTTTTCCCATTGGTCCAGAATAGAATATAACCATATTAGCTAATTTAATGTCAGGTTGGAGAAGATGAATATGGCTATGATCACATGGAAAATAGCGAACATAATAACATTGTCACATTACATTAGAATGGAAATGTAGTGTGCCAAATTACAGTTCAGCTGCAAGGATGTCTGTTACCATAAGGGAATAATACATCATAATGCTGTTCTTTTGGTGCTATAACTTAGGAGGGTGTGGGCTGTGCTAATAAAAAGACTATTTTCAGAATTCTAAACTTGGACAAGGGAAAATCTGATACAAATTCATTATGATGAGAATTACAAATATTCACAGAAGCAAGGATAAAGTACATTTGACTTTTTTTTTTTTACCATGGCATTTATAAATATCTTAAGCTTTGTTTCTTATCTTCTTTTATTGTTTGGAAAAAGAATCAAATATTCAAAGTAATGGAAGTGAATCATAATATATGTGAAAAAAGTATATCCAAGTAATAACATAATAAATTTCTCTCCCTCCTTGAGCTACCAATAGCATTAAGTTTTGGACTGACTTGCTGTTCGAACCATATAGGGCTAAATTCACAATTAGCTATGTCCATAGACAGATACTTATTGTAATTGTAATGAGTCTTATTAACCTCGAATCACTCAAGCATTTCTAAATGATGGTCCTTAAGCTTTTTAAAGCAATTTATAAGCAATATTTACTGATAATACCTCTGAGAATCTATCTGTGGGGAACAGGGTCAGATCTGTCTCAGGTTAAACTATAAAGGATTAAAACATTGYTCATAGCCAGCCAGAAAATGCAACAAAAGACAGAAAAGAAAGCATAATACATGGCAGAGAAATGTAATACATAACAGAAGTGCAATCTTCTCCTATTTTATATAAATTTATTTTTGTTCTTCTTATTGGTAATAGACATCATAAAAATAGATACATGAAAGGAACTGTTGGTATTTTCATATTGCACTCAGGCAGCTAGATCATAGTATAGACTATGTTTATGTAAGAAGTGGGAAGAAAAATCTCAAAACAGTAGAACAGAGCTTTGCTTCATTTCAATTATCTAGATCAGTTCGCTGCCTTGTGCAACAGCTGTGCCATCCATAACTCTAAGTCACCTTTTACCTTATGTAT